TGAAACCCCATCTCTACTAAAAATACAAAAAATTAGCTGGGCATAGTGGTAGGCGCCTGTATTCTCAGCTACTCAGGAGGCTGAGGCAGGAAAATCGCTTGAACCCGGGAAGCAGAGGTTGCAGTGAGCCGAGATCACACCACTGTACTCCAGCTCGGGCGACAGAGTAAGCCACTACGCCCAGCCAGAAGACATCCTTTTAAATGTAATTAAAATAGAATGTCAAATAAAATGCAATAAAATGGAATGGAATGTTTTGAATTTTATGCCAATAATTCACTGTTTTACATGAAATGAATAATTCTTTGAGAGACAAAAGTTACCAAACTTGGCACAAGAAGAAATACAAAAACCTTAAGTGTTATAGCTGTTCAAAAAAATTGAATTTATGGCTGGGCACAGTGACTCACTCCTGTAATCTCAACACTTTGGGAGGCCAAGGTGGGCCAATCACCAGGCCAGGAGTTCAAGATCAGCCTGTGCAACATGGTGAAACCCTGTCTCTACTAAAAATACAAACACCCGGCCACGGTGGCAAGCATCTGCAGTTCCAGCTACTCGGGATGCTGAGGTGGGAGAACCACTTAAACCTGGGAGACAGAGGTTGCAGTGTGCCGAGACCACGTCACTGCATTCCAGCCTCGGTGACAGAGACTGGATCTCAGAAAAAAAAAAGGAAGGAAAGAAAAGAAAAAAAAGAAGAGAGCGAGCGAGGGAAGGAGGGAAGGAAGGAAGGGAAGGAAGAAAACACTTAAGGAAGAAATAATAGTATCAATATTACATAAACAACTTCAGAAAACAGATGAAGACAGAATAATTCACAATTCTTTGACAGTAACAGTATCCTGATATCAAAACAAGGACATACTCTTACCAATTCTAAGGAAAACAGAACAAGGTGCCTAGTCAGTACAATAAGAAAAAGGAACAAAGTCCATATAAATTGGAAAAGTAAAATACTTTATTCACAGATGACATGATTATCTACATAGAAAATGCTAAAGAATCGAGAAAAAAGCTACTAGAACTAATAAGTTCACTGATCTAGGTTGCTTGACACAAGATCAATGTACAAGTCTAATGCATTTCTATATACCAGCAATAACAACTAGAAAATAGCTTTTAAAAAACCTTCTCACTTGCGATAGCATGCAGAAATATTAAATACATGAATTTAACAAAATGTGTGAGAGCTGCAAACTGAGAGAAATCCAGAGATCTAAATAAATGGGACAGTACACCATGTTCAACAATTGGAAAACTCAGAATTGTTAAAATGTCATTTCTCCCTAAATTGAACTATAAATCCCAGAAGACTTTCTTTTTGTAAACACTGATAAAAGTTGTTTTTTGAGACAGAATTTCGCTCTTGGTTGCCCAGGCTGCAGTGCAATGCCGCAATCTCAGCTCTCACCGAAACCTCCGCCTTCCAGGTTCAACAATTATCTTGCCTCAGCCTCCCAAGTAGCTGGGATTCTACAGGCCCCCAAAACCACACCCGGCTAATTTTTTTGTATTTTTAGTAGAGACGGGGTTTCACCATGTTGGCCAGGCTAGTTTTGAACTCCTGACCTCAAGTGATCCGCCTGCCTTGGCCTCCCAAAGTGCTAGGATTACACAGGCATGAGCCATCGGACCAGCCTGAAGTTGATAAAAGTTGACTCCAAATTTTATATGAAAATGCAAAAGATCTAGAAGTCAAAACAAAAAACAAAACAAAACAAAAAAACAAATGGGAAAAGAACAAAACAGAAGCTCTTCCAATACCTGAGTTCAACACTTATTATAAAACTACAATTGGCCAGGAGTGGTGGCTCACACCTGTAATCCCTTTGGGAGGCTGAGGCAGGAGGATCTCGAGGCCAGGAGTTCAAGACCAGCCTGGTCAACATAGTGAGACCCTATCTCTACAAAAAAATATAAAAAATTAGCAAGACGTGGTGATGCATGCCTACAGTCTCAACTACTTAGGAGGCTAAGGCAAGAGGCTCACTTGAGCCCAGATGCTCGAGGTTACATTAGCTATGACTGTGCCACTATACTCCAGTCTGGGCAACAGAATGAGATTCTGCCTCAAATAAAACTACAGTAATCAATATAGTGTCATATTGGTGTAAAGCTACACACACAAGAAGAATGGTGTCCAGAACAGACCACTTCTATGTCAGTTAAGTTTTTACCAACCTGTGAAGACTTGGTCATTGGGAAAGTAGACTCAACAAACAGAACCGAAACAACTATCCACACAGATCCAAAGTGAATCTTGATCCTCATCGCATATGGTACACAAAAATGAACTCAAAAGGGATCACAGACTTCAATGTAAAAACTGTAAAAGCTCCATAAAATAAAAAACATAGGAAAAAAATCATGTCCTTTGAGTAGGCAAATTTCTTAAACTCAATTATAAAATCTCATACATCGTTATCTTGGCTCACTGCAACCTCTGCCTCCTGGGTTCAAGTGATTCTCCTGCCTCAGCCTCCTGAGTAGCTGGGACTACAGGGGTGCGCCATTGCGCCCAGGTGATTTTTGTATTTTCAGTAGAGACAGGGTTTTACCATGTTGGCCAGGCTGGTCTCAAACTTCTGGCCTCAGGTGATCTGCCCACCTTGGCCTCCCAAAGTGCTGGGATTACAGACATGAGCCACCGCACCCAAATATTTGATAAATTAGACTTAAAAAATATTCAAAAGACGCCATTAAGAAAATGAACAGGCAAACCAAACATGAAAATATTCACAATATATATTCATCACAAATGGAGACAAATAATTATATATATTACATATGTTTTTCATCTAGAATATGGAAAGAACTTGAGTCAACAATAAGCATCCCAACTTAAAAATAGGCAAAAGGTATGAACAGACACATCACTAAAGACGACACACAAAAGCAATAAGCAGATGAAATCATAGACATACAACATCATTCAGTGGGCAAATACAAATTAAAATCATAAGGAGACTAGAGTTGATTAAATTTGAAGAGACTGACAACGCCAAGTGTTAGCAAAGATATGGAGCAACTGGAAATCTTCCTATAATGTAGTAGTAGTGTAAAATGATCCAACCACTACGGAAACCTGTGTGACAATTTCTTAAGAAGTTAAAAACACTTATTGCAATGGACTGAATGTTTACATCCTTGCACAATTCATGTCAAATTCCTAACCCATAAGATGATATGAGGTGGGGTCTCGGGGAGGGGACAGAATCACAAGGGGCGAGCCCTCATGAATGGGGTAGGTTTTCTAGTCCCTTTCCACCACGTACCGTCACAGTGAGAAGACATCTACTTGAAAGGAAGTAGGCCCTCACTAAACACCAAATGTTGACACTCTCATCTTGGACTTCCCAGCCTCCAGAACTGTAAGACATAAATTTCTGTTGTTTACTAGCCTCCCAGTTTGTGGCATTTTGTTATGGCAGCCTGAATGGACTAAGACACTTACAACACAGCAATTAAAGTCCTAAGTACTTACCCAAGCAAAATAAAAACACATGTGCAAATACATACTTTTACACAAATGCTCATAGTTTTAAGAGCAGAGACTGGAAACCCATTAATACGTGGATGAATAAACAAATGACGGCTTATCTATACAATGGAACACTATTCAGCAAGAACTACTGAAACACGAAACAGCTGGGTTGAGTCTAAAAACATGCCACAGTGAAAGACATCAGACACAAAAGAACACGTACTAAACGAATCCGTTTGTATGTGGCTCTAAACCAAGCAACACTAATCTATACGGATAGAAAGTGGTTACCTGGGGCTGGACTGGGCTTAACTAGGAAAAGGCAAAAGGGAACTTTTTGGGTTTGACAGAAATGTTCTTGGTTCTGTTGGTGGTGGTTACACAGGTGGTGGTGGTTACACAGGTGTACGGATTTTCCAAAACCCTGTACACTTAAAATAGGTGTTTTACTATATAAAAATTGAATCGTTGATTAAAATGGTCTGGAAAAATCTACATGTGAAACATCTCTAGTCATGCTCATTTTCCAGAAAATGTACATCTTTTTAAATTACTTGTCCCGAGGCTTTCAGGATTGGTAGTTATTTAAGAATTCAAAATATGGCCTCATGAGAAAAAGAAAAACTATATGGTTACAAAACTGGATTTTGGAGTTCATGTTCAGATGAAATTCAGAGGCAAAGACTAACAGTTTCGCGACGTGGCTGTCCACTATTTACCTCGCCTGCTTTTGAACAGTCCTAGCCAAACAGCCATCTGTTACGACTCCATGTTTCTGCGGAGATTCCCTCTCCGATCCTATTTTCTTTAGCTGATCTCTACTGATCTCTCTGGCCCAGCTGAAATGTCACTCTTCTGTGCCTTCCCAGCTCTGTGCCACATCAGTCACCCCCTCACCTGTGCTCCTTCACAACTGAGAGCACACACTTGACTCATCGTACTGTGATCTCTGTCTTCCCCACTACACTGTGGAGGACTTCGGGGTAGTGGGTTGCTCATCTGTTTTCCCAACATTTAGGACTATTCCTTATAGATATCAATACATTTCTAAGTAAATGAGAAAATGAGCCAGAAAGCATGGAAAAATGACAAGAGCTCAGTTCAACCTTGGAACTCTTAAAACAGAAGAGCTATGTAGTGCATTGAGACTGTGCCTTTCCAGTGAGACAGAAAGATACAGACAAGTGAGTGAAGGCCTTCTCTTGAGACCTGCCTCCTCCTGTCCCCACTGTTCCAGCTGAGTCAGGTGTCAATGCCCTCCAGATCAAGTGGACAGTTCTGCATGAGCTGTAAGGCGGCACACAGGAGGGCGTGGATATGCACAGGCTATTGCAATAGCCTGCAACTTCTGAGTTAAGTAGGAGCAGCAGACAGTAGCAGGGCTGAGAAGATACTTCTAACAGAGTCATAGATTATACTGATACAAAATGAACAAACAATTAAAAAAACAGCTAACAGCTGAAAATTTTTAGAATGGCAGTATAGAAAGGACAAAGCAAGACAGATGCCAATCACACATAGATTTAGGGGTGTATTTTTTATTGCCTTGTGAGAGACAGTGGACACATGGAAATCAATCAGATATGATCACTGTCCGTAGGAACTCAGAGTATAACAGCAGAGATAGTCTACCAAGTCATTCTGACATATGCAAGTAAATACAGTAATAGCAGTAATCACTGAGCCACAGAACTAAGCCTGAGGGAAACATCCCTTGACATGATGCCTGAGGCATGTCTTGAACCATGATTCGGAGTTAATTAGCTGAGGAGACCCTTTAACAAGAACAAAGGCGAGAGAGGTAGGTAGCCACGTGGAGCACAGGGAAGATGAAGCAGTTGGTGTTGCTGCAGCATTAACTGTGTGGCAGGAAGTCAGGCAGTGGGAGGCGAGGCTCCAGGACACAGGAGGCCTTAGGGCCCAGGATGGGGGACCTGGAGTTCCTCCTCCAGACAACAGGGAAATGGCTCGGGGGTTTGTATACAAGTTATCTTTCTTCAACTTAATAGATCAAAATTTCCTAGGTAACATTCTCCTAAGTAATAAGATTAGATACACAGTTCTGCTCTAAAAGGGATTTAACTCAAGGATGGACTGTAACTGTGGATAAAATTTTAAAAAAACCTTTTCTTGAGACCTGTCTCCTCCCTGCCCCTACTGTTCCAGCTCAGAGTCAGGTGTCAAGCCCTGTGACTCTCCCGAGAACAGTGCTCACAGCTGAGGAGAAGGGTGAGCCTGCTAGTGCTGCACAGTGGCAGGTGGCATCCACTCCAAAGGCAGCTCCATCCATGATTCACAAAATTCTGACATGTCCAAATCTTAGAAACCACATGAATCCTAATTCCACGCATTTCCAAACATCACTCATTGGGCGGGAGAATAATTATTTTATAAGTTATCTATGTGTTGCCCCTGATCGACAGACCTCTCGCCCAAATGTATGGGGGCCTTACTCAAGGAGAGCCCCTCTTGGTGAACACTTTGATTATTTTTAAAGTTTGTAGTTGAGTTAAAATCTCTCCCATACTGACTACATTCATAGAGCTTCTCTTCAGTATGAATCTTCTGGTGCTGAAGGAAGTTTGACCTCTGAATAAAGCCTTTCCCACAATAACTGCAGGCATAGGGCTTTTCTCCAGTGTGAATGATCTGGTGCAGAAGCAGCTTGGAGCTCTGGATGAAGGCTTTCCCACAGTCTTTACATTCGAAGGGCCTGTCCCCAGAGTGGATCTTCTGGTGCTCAGTGAGATGGGCTTTCTGGAGAAACGCTTTCCCGCATTCCTTACATTCATACACTCTCTCTCCAGTGTGGATCTTCTGGTGTCGAATAAGGTATGAACTCAGAAAGAAAGCTTTCCCACACTCGTTACATTCATAGAGTTTCTCTCCAGTGTGAATTCTCTGATGCTGGGTGAAGTTTGACGTCTGGCTGAAGCGCTTCCCACACTCGTTGCACACGTAAGGCCTCTCCCCAGTATGGATCCTCTGATGCTGAATGAGCTTCGAGCTCCGAATAAAGGCTTTCCCGCACTCATTGCATTCAAACGGTCTCTCTCCGGTGTGGATCCTCTGGTGCTCGATAAGGTCTGAGCGATGACGGAATGCCTTCCCACATTCTTTGCATTCATACTGTTTCACTTCTGTGTGGATCTGATAGTGGCGAATGAGGCTCGAGCTCCTTATGAAGGATTTCCCACATTCATTGCACTCATAGGGCCTTTCTCCCGTGTGAATCCTCTGATGACGAATAAGTAAGGAGCTCTGACTGAAGCCTTTTCCACACTCTTTGCATTCGAAAGGTCTCTCTCTGGTGTGAACTCTCTGGTGCCTAATCAGGTCTGAACTGTGACCAAACGCCTTCCCACACTGTGCACATTTGAAGGGCTTGTCTCCTGAATGAACGCGCTGATGCTCAATGAGACCTGCATAGTGAATGAAGTCTTTCCCACACACGTTACAGACGTAGAGTCTCTCTCCAGTGTGAATTCTCTGATGCTCCATAAGGTGTGAGCTCTGGCCAAAGCCTTTCCCACACTGATCGCACCTGTAAGGTTTCTCCCCAGCATGCGAAATCCGATGCCTAACTAGGTCGGAATTAAACGTGAAGGTTTTGCCACAGATATCGCAAGGATTGGCATCCCCCTCTATGAGCTCTCTCTGAAGCAGAAGAAGGTCTGAGTTCAGAATAGGGTTTCTTCCTGACTTGGCACACACTTGAGCTGTCTCTCCTGTTTGGATCTTCCAATGGGTCACTGTCACCTGCTTGCAGCCCCTGTCCTGACAGGGGGAACTCCCCAGGCTCTGTCCTTCTGGATTTCCCAAAAGCTCCCCTAATCTGGGCTCATGGACTTCCTCAGACTCGGGAGAAGGGAGCTCCATCACTGTGAGTTTATCTGACATTATCCTATGTGAGTTTTCATCCTCAGAAATCCAGCTTCAACCACCTTCTTCTCACCAGTTCCTACATTAGAATCTGAAACAAAAGACAACAAAATCATCTTTCCCCTTACTTAACAGATGGGGATCCCCTGATCAGGGTCAGATAAAATTCATATCCAAGAGGTGGAAAGTGTTTCCTCTGCTCCTCACTTCTAACCTAAAGTGCTGCTACCCATAGCTCTGGCCTCACACCCAAGCCCGTCCCACGTAAGATGGCTTCTTTGTGGCTCCACTGTTAACATACAATACCAGGACAGACTGGCCTGTGGTGCACAACACTCCTCTGACCGTTAGTGAATCCTGGATGAGTTGCAGAGGGGTGGGGATATGCTTGGACTCCATTAAGAAACCAAGACAGGTATTTTAAATAAACGTATAAATGTATCAGCCCTGCCACCCCTTCCCTGTTCCTCATTCCTTCCTTCATGTCTTCTTCTCCCCTCTGTACCTAGCTTAAACCCCATGGTCTGGGGCACTGTGTTCACTGTAAATTACATGAGAATCACCCTCCTACACAGAATCCAGACTCCCCTGCCCTTTTCTCCCTCCATCATACTCAGATGGGAAAGTCCAAGCTTTGGTTAAAACGAGGCTGTGTCCTGATTTGCGCCTGCACTCTTGCTGAGTTTTTTTTTTTTTTTTTAAAGACAGAATCTCGCTCTGTTGCCTAGGCTGGAGTGCAGTGGCACCATCTCGGCTCACTGCAAGCTCCACCTCCTGGGTTCACTCCATTCTCCTGCCTCAGCCTCTCGAGCAGCTGGGACTACAGGCGCCCACCACCATGCCCGGCTAACTTTTTGTATTTTTAGTAGAGACGGGGTTTCATTGTGTTAGCCAGGATGGTCTCCATCTCCTGACCTCAGGTGATCCGCTGGCCTTGGCCTCCCAAAGTGCTGGGATTACAGGCATGAGCCACCGCGCCCAGCCAGCTGAGTTCTTTAAATTCAGAGCTACTTGCCTAATGGGGCCTGAGAGCTGCCAGCAACTCCTACCCTTCCCACTCCCTACAGGACCTTCCACTTCTCCTGTCTTCTTACAGACCCAGCACTCCCTCCTCCCTCCCCACTGGTGACCTTGCTTCTTGTTTCAACGAGAAAACAGAAGAAATCAGGCAAGGACATCCACTGCCTCCCACATCTCCTGCCAGCTTGTATCTCCACCCATCCTCTGCCAGGCTTGTTACCTGGGTTAAACTGCCCTTGATCTGACTTAAGGTCAACACTACTACTTGTGTGTGAGCTCCCTTTCCCTCTCACACATGCAAGGACAGCACTTGAGCACCCACCCCTCTCCTCCATCCTGAAGTCCTTGCCCTCCAAGCCCACCACTCCCGTCAGCATGAAGTGCACCAGTTCCCAACTACCTGAAAAATGCACGTCATGGGCCCCATGTCCCATCAATTACTATCCCATAACACTCCTCCTCCACAGCCACATTCAAAGAGCCCCCACCCCAGGCTTGATTTCTCCATTTCCTCCTTCCCCTGAGCCTACTGCAGTAGGGCTCTCACCCCAAACATCCATGTCACCACATCAGGGGTCAGCTATGGCCACACTTCCAACTCAACCTGCGGCAGCACTGACACAGCCCTGCTCCTTCAGAAGTCACTCTCCTTATGTGAATCTGGGACAGCCTTTCTCTGTTCCTTACCTGCCTCACTGACAGCTCCTCCCAGTGTCCCCTGATGCCTCAAAGCCCTGGCGTGTCTAGGGTTCAGCCCTCATCTTTGTCCATTACAGAGGGGAGTGCACTCATTATCGGACAGCAACGCCATCTATGCTGAAGACTCACGTGCCTGCCTCCAACCTGGCCCTCTTTCCAGTCCCCACACCTGACCAGCTCCCCACCCCACACCTTCAATCGGATGCTCCCAGAAGTTTCAACACTAACGCATCCTGCCTCACTTCTGACTTTCCTCCTCCTATAATCTTCTCCATTGTCTCATTTGTTCAGGCCACAGACATTGCAATAGCCCTTGACTCCTTTTCCTTTTGTTCTAACTACTTGCCTCATGGGGCCTGAGAGCTGCCAGCAACTCCTCCAACCACATCTGTTCAAAACCATGCCCAGCACCAGATGCCCACAGCCTACAGGGCTGCCATCTGCACCATCGCCTTTCACCATGAAGTGTGACTGCCTCCCACCTTCTTACTTCTCCCCTTCTTCAGCTCTTTTCTACACAGCCAGCAGAATTACGCTTTAAAATCATAAATCAGATGTCACTTTTCTACACAAAACTTACAAGGGTTTCCCATCCCCTACTCAGGCCCCATGAGGGCCACCGGGCCTGGACTCCTACTGCTCCCCCTGCCCTCCCCTTCCCTCTTCTTTGGTCAGTGTGACCAAAGAAGCCCCCTTGGAGCCTTTGCCCTTTCATAGAAAGACTCCAAGAATATTTGCATGGTTCACTCCTAGATGTCCTTCAGGTGTCTGTGTTGACATCACCTGATCGGAGTCCTTCCTAGTCACGCTACAAAACAGCAAGGCACCCTCACCCTCAGCATGCCCTCTCTCCTGCCTCTGCTTCCTCTGCACAGTTCTGACCACCTGACCAATCACAAGTCACCCAATCAAAGCAGCCAACGACTGTGAGATGTGACACGACTTTATGAACCATGAAGGAAAATAAAAGTACCAATTTAAATGAAAATACTCCATCAAGCCAGACACAGTGGCTCACTCCTGTAATCCTAAGACTTTGGGAGGCAGAGGTAGGAGGGTCACTTGAGACCAGGAGTTCAGTGTCTGCCTGGGCAAGGCAGAGAGATCCCATCTCTACAAAAAACATTTTTAAAAACAGCCAGGCAAGGTAGCACACCTGTGGTCCCGGCTATGGGAGACTGAGGCAGGAGAATCATTTGAGCCCAGGAAGTTGAGACTGCAGTGAGCCGTGCTTGTGCCACAGCATTCCAGCCTGGGTGACAGAGTAAAATCTTGTCTCAAACAACAACAAAAAACACTCCATCAATTCTAACAGGCAACTCAATTTCAGAGATATTAAAATATGGAGAAAATGTGTCTTAGAATCAACGAATTGTGATATATATATATACACATATGTACACGCGCACACACACACACACAACCCCTCCCCCACAGGCAACAAACTATGTTTTGCTGTCTCCCCGACAAGTATGTAAGTGCTGTGTGGGCAGGAACTTTGTTCTGTTCTTTATCCTCAGCAACCCAAACAATTCCCGGCAGAAAGTAATACATTTCATAAATATCTGTTGTATGAATGAATGTTCTAATCATGCATACATAATACACTCAATAGAGGGTAATAAGCCAGGTACAGTGGCTCATGCCTATCATCCCAGCATTTCCAGTGGCCAGAGGAGGAGGCCTACTTGAGGCCAGGAGTCCGAGACCAGGCTAGGCAACACAGCAAGACTCCATCTCTAAAAAAAATTTTTTAATTAGCTGGGTATGATGCTGCATACCTGCGGTCCCAGCTATTTGAGAGACTAAGGCAGCAGGATCACTTGAGCCCAAAGGTTTGAGGCTACAGTAAGCCATGACTGTGCCATGGCACTCCAACCTAGGTGACAGAGTGAGACCCTGTCGCTAACTTAAAAAAAAAAAAAAAAAAAAAAGCTCCAACACTTCTAGTATTTTTTTTTTTTTTTTTTTTTTTAGACAGTGTCTCACTCTGTTGCCCAGGCTGGAGTGCAGTGGCCGGATCTCAGCTCACTGCAAGCTCCGCCTCCCGGGTTTACGCCATTCTCCTGCCTCAGCCTCCGGAGTAGCTGGGACTACAGGCACCCGCCACCTCGCCCGGCTAGTTTTTTGTATTTTTTAGTAGAGACGGGGTTTCACTGTGTTAGCCAGGATGGTCTCGATCTCCTGACCTCGTGATCCGCCCCTCTCGGCCTCCCAAAGTGCTGGGATTACAGGCTTGAGCCACCGCGCCCAGCCTCACTTCTAATATTAAACACTGAAATAAATGTGAGTTATACATACCTTAAAGAAAGATTAACAGTGCTTGCTACAGCTCTTTTAGAATGTCTAGCAGGTTTCTCAGTTTTTACTGGAAAATCTCCCATAAAAAAAAAATTAAGAAAAACAAGATAATTATTTACCCACTTATTTTAATGCAGGGTCCTGGGTAGCTGGAGCCTATCCTGGCAGCTCAGGGTGCAAGGTGAGAACCAGCCCTGGATACGACAGGGTCCCACCACAGGGCAACTCACACACCCAAATTCGCTCATGGTGGGACTAAGGAGACACCCCAATTCACCTAATGGACACATCTTGGGGACGTGGAGGAAAGCCAGGCAGTCGTGGGGAGATTGTGCACACTCCACACATGGTGTTCACAGCCAGGAATCACTTCTTCCCTCATAGATGTTATAATGAAACAATACTTGAGGCTCTGCCACGGAAAGGGAGGAAGCCAGAATCCACTCTCTGAAAGCAGAGACCAAAGGAACGGTGATTGCTTTGAGCGAAAGTCTCTTTCTTGGCGCCTGTACTTTACCAGCCTGAAGTCTGAGGATTTGTCTTTTTTTTTTTTTAGACAGTGTCTCACTCTGTTGCCCAGGCTGGAGTGCAGTGGCGCCATCTCTGCTCACTGCAAGCTCTGCCTCCCAGGTTCACGCCATTCTCCTGCCAAGCAGCTGGGACTACAGGCACCTGCCACCACACCCGGCTAATTTTTTTGTATTTTTAGTAGAGATGGAGTTTCACTGTGTTAGCCAGGATGGTCTCCCTCTCCTGACCTCATAATCCGCCCGCCTCGGCCTTCCAAAGTGCCGGGATTACAGGAGTAAGCCACAGCGCCCAGCCAAGGATTTGTATTTTCTTTTTTTCTGAGACGGAGTTTTGCTCTTATTGCCCAGGCTGGAGTGCAATGGCACGATCTCAGCTCACCGCAGTCTCCGGCTCCCAGGTTCAAGCGATTCTCCTGCCTCAGCCTCACAAGTAGCTGGGATTATAGGCATGCACCACCACGCCCAGCTAATTTTGTATTTTCAGTAGAGATGGGGTTTCTCCATATTGGTCAGGCTGGTTTCGAACTCCCAACCTGAGGTG